GATAATGACCAATTGACACGGGGAGATCCGTCAAATATTCAACTACCTCATGGCATGAAGCCGATTGATTGAGAGTCAATCGATTAAAAAGAGTCAGGGGCGTAATTGTAGTTAAATATTTTTTTCTTTATTTAAATTCCTCAATATTTACTCAGATTATTGATTAATTGGTTTCATAATTCTTAAAGCCAGAAGGTTAACATAAGGCTCTCAAAGCTGACAGCTTACTGAATGGAAATAATCCTTAGTGCATCACAGCAGCTAAAATCAGTTAAGGAAAAAAGACTTTTTGGCCTCCACAAAGAAATTCTTGTACATAAAAAATCAAACTTTTACACTTATTATCTTCACCCACTTGAGTTTGGGACAGAATATATAAATGTGTTGACATACCTAACACTTGAGAATTTTTTTTTCTTACATTTATACCACTCAAATCTCTCATATGACATAATATCACCATTTTAAAATTTTAAAAGTTACATACACCTTTTTCCTGAATAGGTTAAGTGGTATGTATGTAGAAATTGAAGTTTAGGTGTTAGATATGTATATAGGAATTGAATGGTGGGTGTGAATCTTTATTATATTTATACATTATAATATTAGAAGTGGGCTAATTGGGCTGTGGATGGAGCCCACCATGACCTAACCCAACTTTCATTTAATGGGGCGCTATCTTGGGCTGATAAGTGGGTTTTTTGGTCTTGTTGACTTTAATGTAATGCTACAAAAAGTCAATTAATTGAATGAAAGCACAGACAATACATGTTTTGATTTCAAATTTTATCCGATTAGATAAATGTTTTTTTTTTTTTCAAGTAACTAATTGAGCTCTAAGGAAAATTTTACATTTCACCCCCTGTCAAAATGCTTATTTTTCACAATCGTGGTTTGTTCTTGGGCTAGCAATTTTTTTATTTTTTTGCAAATACTTGAATTTATTCTCACATCTTAGAAATTTGAAAAACAATCAGTCTGGTCCACATCTATCAAATCGGTGTGCTAAACAGCCTGGCATTTTTTAAAAAAATTTTCAGTGGGACTTTTGTTTTAGTGTAATAAATAATTTACATGTGAAACTTTTCATAAATAATATGTTGGAGGCTATTAGACGACCACCCTTAATGCTCATAAGCACTCGACTACCAATCTCATAGGCAAGCGGGATTCGAACCCTAGATCACGGAACTTATAATAGACAAAGCCGAACCTCGATCTTCTACCAACTGATCTACGAATGCAAAGATTGATTGACAATTGGAGACCGTCGATCAACTTCTATAGGTTAGACTGACTGAGAGTCGGACCCCCATTTCAGTCCGTGTGCTATTCGAATTCTCCCGAAAGGGCTGAGATTTGAACGCCTGAACCGATGGTCTTACGCCAAGGCCGCACACACACACACACATTAAGAAAGCAACCTTCTCCTTTACAATGAGATTATGGATTTAGAAGAAATTAAATTCATTTAAGAATATATGTATATATATATATATATATATATTATATGTTGGGGGATTTACGAACATATCAACCTATTCATATGATTTTACGGATCTAACATCTAAAATTTTCTTTCTATATTTATACCATCCAAAGCTTGCATACCACATTAAAAATCACTATTTTAATTTCAAAAAAGTGAAACCCATTTTTTTCATGCATAAGGTGTCATATATGTAAAAATTTAATGTAGGTGTTAAATAGATAAATACATAAGAATTAAGTGGTATGTTTGTAAATCTTCTAGAAAATTATTATTAAGAAAATTCGGCTAAGTTATTCGTTTTACATCCTTTTTCAAGCATGCAAAGCACCAAATTAATTCTCCTTTTTTTTTTTTTTTTTTTTTTAGCAAATAAAGCTTTAATTTTATTTTTATGAGTGTGAAAACTAAATTGCTAAACATAGTGTGAATGCTAGGAGAAATTATTACATAAGGTGCATGTGGTGTCCGATCTGCGCCGCTCATCACACTTCATAAAATTTTTTTTTTCAAAAAAAAAATGAAAAATGGAGCCCACCAAAATACAACTTTTATTGTGTGTGGTGACCGTATGGAATAAATTTTCGAATTCGAGGAATATTTATAGTTCTTTGTTATAGTTTAAAGGATATAATTTTGAATCATCAAAATAAATTATTGATCATAATAAATAGGGCAAAAACGGAATATTGAAACTTTGTTAGTAGGATATTATAATAATTTAAAATTTTATTATCTTAAACTTCATTCTAAATTACTTATTACAATTCACTAAAACAATAATTGATTAATGACAATAATTTTCATGATCTTTCTAAGATTTCGTCCTTTACAATTTGATTAAGGGAAATTTACAAATATACCACGCAATTCATATATAATTACGCTTTTTACATGTTTTATAAACTTATGCATATAAAGGTGTGCTTTACTTATAAAAGACAATAATAATTATATTTTTTTATTTGATGTTAAAGATTTGAGTGCCATACATGCAAATATAAAATTATAAGTGTTAGATAGGTAAATACAAAAGAATTATGTGGTATTTATGTAAATAAAAAATTCCTCATTTTCCTTCTCTAAATATTTTAAACAAAAAATCTCCACTAGCTAAACATCTAATTTCTAGAACTCTAATTAATAGCTTAATTAAGCATTAATAGCAAAAAATTACCTAATCAATTTTACTAAAAATGCATTAAATCCTTTATATAAATGAGCTATTGACAAAGTAACATAAATTATTATGAACTTATGCAAAAAAAAATATATTTCGCTTTTAAAAGTTAATAATAATAATGATTTTTATGCGGTGTTAGAAAATTGAACATTATACATGTAAATATAAATATAAATGTTTCGTGTTAGATATGTAAATATATAACAACTATATGATATGTTTGTAAATATAAAATTCCTCATTTATCTTATCCAAATATTTTATTAAAAAAAAAATCTCCACTTGCTAAACATCTAATTATCAGGAACTCTACTTAATAGCCTAATTAAGGCTTAATACCAAAAAAATTGCCTAATCAAGATTACTAAAAATGCATTTTTATAATTAAACCCTTCTCATAATTGAGCTCTTGACAAAGTAACTTAAAGAGACAAATAGGCCAGCTGTATTTAGGCATTTTATTCAGAATATCATAATTTCTCTTGTCCCTTTTCTTAAGAAAAATAAATAAATAAATAAATAAATAACTAAATATTTTATTTTCTCCTCTTATCCTAAAGAAACAACAAAGGAATCATGGTAATGAATTTGAATAGAACAAAAATGTTTCACTGTCATGCATGTGAACCTCCCCTTTATATTAAGTTCATGTGACACATTTCATTAAAAAAAATTGCAAATTAAATTAAAATATTGTGGACCAAGATTAGCTCAATTTATGAGAGCTAGAAATTTATGAGGAAAGGAGGGGAAAGTGGAAATAAGTAGTGCATGTGAAGGAAAATAGAAATTATCATCCCCCACCTACTTATATTAGCTCTTTCACTTTTTTTTCTACCACCATATCACCTATTTAAATAGCTAATAAAAATCTCAAACCTACTTTTTCATGCCCACATATTTAGGAATATCATTCATTCAACATATGATAATGATTAAATTGTTAGGTATAATTTATATCATTCAAATAAATATCTTGTGGAGAGAATGCAAATTTACAAGGGTGGAACCATGTCATGACCCTGAAATTTACAAGTTTTTTTGTATAAACAGTAAATTTTAAAATAAATATTTTCTTATGTGATTTGGGCAATTTAGTAATCTCCCCACAATATATTTTTTAGTGTAATGCTTTAAAAAGTTTAGATACATGGTAATTATGCCTACCATAAAAAAAAATGTTGACTCTACCCCCACAAATTTATCCTTTTCCCCCCTTATTTTTTTTTTTTTTTTTTTATGATTTTCTTTGCGTATACTTGTACCGTTAGGTCTTGAACTCAAGATCGCATAGTTAGAGTCAAAACAAAACTATGTACGCATATGCAAATCTGGCTTCACTCAAAAATTCAAGGTATGCCTTTGAAAGTTATAGAGTAGATGCTAATAGTCTCTTTAAAGATATTTTGATGATGTGGTATTTATATACAAACAACTCTCTACGCCGCGTATTTAGATAAGTTGATCGGGCATCTGCTTGTCAGTTGTAAGTCTCCTCTGGTCTGGGATTCGATTCCCCCCGAGTGTAAAGTGTGATACTCGAATTCTAGGCGCACGAGGGCTGGGCAGGGCTCGTTTGATAGCCTTCGACCATTCCTTTTCAATAATATATATATATATATATATATATATAGGGGGAGAGAGAGAGAGAGAACTCACTTCTTATATATTTACATATCTAACACAAGAATTTTATTTTTTATATTTATGCCACGATATCTTTCATTTTAGATAAAAAATATCATCATTTTAATTTTAAAATGAGTGAAATATATATTTTCATGTATGTGTAAAGTGAGAAATATATTAAAATTTAGGTGTTAAGTAATATATATATATCTTCCTTCGATAATTTTACGAAGAGCTTCAACACAATGGATTAAAGTTTTAAGAGCTTGTTGTGTGTTCGTAAATTTTGTGATATAAAACTAAATCATAATTATCATAGTAAAATCCACGATATCAAAAGCATGAAATAATCATCAATTATACAAAAAATATATAAATTTTTAGGTTGCAATTTTACAAATCAATCACCCTGTTTCATCCATTATCCAAATTCTCACTCAAATATCAGAGTTGCTGGTAAAAATTCAACCCATATTTTTTTATTTTTATCAAATTCTCAATAGATTGATTGTGACACTCATAAATACATCGATTCTTGATTCAAAAAAATCACCCGAGTGATTAATTTGTAAATATCAATGTTTTGGATGGTTTACATATAATCATCCCAACCATGGAAATCTCTCTATTTTCACACAAATAAATCAAATTAAACATCAGAAATCACTCAAAAAAGAAAAAGAAAAAATGGAGAATTAAAAAGAATAAAATTCATAGATTAATCAAACCACCAACAGAAACAACAGATCAACCCATCCTCTCTCCACCTTATAAGAGAGAAACAATCAAAAACCCTAAGCGAGCTGTTTACAGTAAATCAACAGAGATAAAAAACATGCTATAATCAACTTATCTATGGACAATTAGGGTTCTTCCCGGGACCTCCATAGTAGAAATAAAAGCCCCAATCTCCATTCTGATCGTTATCGACATCATAGCAGCTCGATTCTTCAGTATAAGTTCCGATTCCTTCAGGAGATTTGAGATTATTGGAGCTATCAACAATCTGAATATTTCTGAAATAGCTCGCTTTGCCAAATCCTTCATCTGGAAAATGACCGCTGCCCATTTGAGTAGAAGTGTGAGCTCCATCGGCGACTGTGTTGACTACTTCTCCTCCCCATTCGATCATGGAGGCGCTGTCGGCTAAGTAGGAGAAGAGGAAGGAGGGCCAGTAGCCTATAACATGCTTTTCTCCAAATTGCATCCACCAATTTCCCTCCTTTGGGTCCTGCAAATTTCAAAAAAAAATTTTTTTTTTGAAATTTGATGAGTTGATTAGAATCCGAGGCGTTTTGCATACATAAAACCACCCAAAATTTGATTTTTTTTTTACATTAATACCACTCAAATCATCGCCATTTCAAGTTTTGAAAAGCGGGATACAACTTTTAATGCTTTGATAAGGTGCCAAGCATGTAAGAATTGGAGTTTTATGTGTTCTAAGTACACAAGAATTGGGTGGTCCTAAGATTTATTTGACAGAAAACTTTACCCTCATGATTTTGAACTTAGTTTGAACTAAAATTTATATTTACATGTGATATCTACATAGTTACCACTCAGTTCTTATGCATTTTACATATTAAAGGTCTAAACTTCTATATTTACATGCATAACATTCAATATTCTCATACTTTTCTTCATGACAGCAAAGGGTTATAAAAGTAAATATCAAACTTGAGGTGTTAGATATCTAAATACATGAGAAATGTGCAGCACATATGTAAATTTACCTTCTTTCTGGTCTTTGCATGAAGACAAACATATCTATGATTATCAACAAAAATAAATACATAAATATGGCCCTATAAAAGACCTTGTCACGAGCTCACTCGATCAGAACCATGCTCACATGGCTCGGTTGAATCGGAGCCAAAATTTAATAAAAACTCACCAAAAGTTTGATCTTTGGGCTAAACTTTTCATTCTAGTCAAAACAAAATCATCAATATAAACTTTTTATTTCATTTAAATTGTATTTTGTTTACCTTCCAAACAAGAATACTGATGTCATATTGGGAGCCACCATAATCAGAGATGGGAGAAATACTGGCCCCCATTGCAATTTCTTTATTTATCTGAATGAATCCAGAACACAGCAGATTATAGCAGCCCGTAGCTTGATAAGCATCACTCTGTTTATTTAAAAAAAATAATAATAATAAATAAATATCAATAATATTCCAAAATCCAGTCTGATTTTGTAAATAGTGGGATATAAACTGCAAAAAGGACAAATTATGAGAACTTTAGGAGAAGAAATACAAGCTTACAGTCCAGTAAGTGAACAGCCTTGTGTTACTATCGCCATAAAGATCAGGACTGACCTAATAATACAATTGAAATCAACAAAATTTTAAATTCATGAAGTAAAAAAATACAAGAGGCATTTACATATATACATACCACCCAATTCCTATGTATTTACATTTATACCAACCAAATAGTTTGTATCCACACCTTTTCATGCATAGATAAGACGGTTATGCATGTAAAAATTACATATATGTCGCTCTGAATTTTTAACATGACATCAAAATATCAGTTTTACTAACATTTTGAAAAAGTGAAATACACATTTTCATGCATAAGTTCACCAAAGGTTTATAAATGTGAATATCAAACTTTAGGTGGTAGATATGTAAATGCATGGGAATTGAGTGTGGTATGTATGTAAATCTTCAAAAAAGTAGAAAAAATAAAAAATATATATTATTTATTTACTTGAAGGAAGGAGAATAAACCTGCCAGCCTGCTTCAATGCTGTTGAGATCCTCTCCAAAAGAGCCACCCAAAATCCAGAGTTGAGAGAGGCTGAACTCATTGGATTGCTGAATCTGTGGATTCCAAACATTCATGGTGGCCTTTGCTCCATAGTACTCATCCCCCTCTACATAACTAATGGCATGCTACTCAAACAAGACCCGCAGAGGGAAAAAAATGTTAGAGAACAAATAAAATGCAAATTTTAAAATATTTATTTAAAAAAGAGAAAATTTTGCTCTTGAAATTTCTATAATTTGTAAACTAGTACTGTTTTTGACATTTTTGTAGGGGATCTAATAGTAAATGTTAGTTAAGGCATCATTTCTTTAGGGCGCTTACATATATACCAGCCAATTTTAATATATTTACATATCTAACACCTAAATTTTACATTTTTACATTTACATCACCCAAAGCAATGATTTTGCCTTACCTCATGGCCGTTCTCATTGACGAGATCAGGATCAGAGGATAAGGGAAAGGGTATGGTCCTCTTCTTCTTCCTCCCATAGCTCATCACAGAACTGGCTCTGAGAACATCTTCTTCCTTAGTTCTTCTTATGGGAACTGTGTTCTCTGGGCATCTGCCATTTTTATGCCATAGCTGAGAAATTTGCTTGCTGGCTTTCCTCCCATGGCTTGAGTTTCTCCCGAGCTTTGATTCCAATTTGCTCTCCTCATAGTGGTTTTCTGGATGGAAGGAAGGCCTTGTCTGCAGCAAAAATGGAGAATCAATTTTGGCTGTAAAAACTTGAGAGAGAGAGAGAGAGGGAAGATTGGCTCGAAATCTCTCAAACTAAATTTAGCTCAGAAATTAAACCAATTTTCTCAAAAACAGTAACTTTGACTTGGGACTTCTTCTTCTTCTAAGAGGGAGGGAGAGACAGAGAGAGGATAGATTGATTCGAAATGTCCCAAACTAAATTTAGCTCAGAAATTTAGCCAATTTTTGTCAAAAACTGTAAATTTGACTTGGCACTAGTTCTTCTTCTTCTTCTTCTTCTTCTTCTTCTTCTAAGAGAGTGGGAGAAGAGGAGAGAGAGAGAGAGAGAGAGACCTGAATAGTGTGGTTTCTGAAGAGAGGATGATCAAAGGCTGGCTGGAGAGAGACATGAACACAATCTATGATATCTCCATCTGGGCTCTGTAAATTTATAAAATTTTTAATGCTAGCAATAATTGAATCAAATTATAAAAACATTCCTGAAATGTAAATAAGAACATTCCATGAAAATAACATAACATCCTATGAAAAACTATCTCTAAACGTAAATAATCGGCGAAAAATTTCAGTAATGGCCGCAAAAATACGTTTTGAATACGAAAAACGTACAATTGAAAGAATATTAAATAAAAAAATGATTTTTTTCCAAAAAAAGTGAAGAAAATAGGGGAAAGGCGGGACCTTGATGGACATCACGGCAGGCTTATTCAGTTTGTAAAGGTGCCTTCTTGTTTCCAGCTGCCGCCTCCTCACGGCGGCGGGGGTGACGACGTCGTCGCCGGAGCCGGAGGCGCAAGATAGGAAGCAAAGAGTTAGAAGAAGCCCTGCTCGGTACCTCCGGCCAACTTGCGCTGCCATGAAGAGTTTTCTCGTCTTCTTCTTCTCAACTTTGAACCCCCATTCCGTCGCTTAATGCTCTCTCTCTCTACTGTGAGTAATTCCTGGCGCCTTCTTCTCCCCAATCGCTACTTACTCTGCGCGCGCTCAATCTCGGCCTAGATAAGTACACATAGATGGGGGTAAAATGGGAAGAGCAGGTTTGAGCGGGTTTAATTTATTGCGATTTTTTAAAATAATGTAGTGAATTTATAATTATTACTCATCAATCACAAATATTTGTTGATATGTTAATTTTTTTTCTAATTAAATTTAATAAATTTGATTATTTGTAATAGTTTAATTTATTTTTTGCACTATTTTTATGAAAAATAGGAATATTTTCTATATATTTACATATCTAACGAAAAGAATTTCAATTTTTACATGCAGCTTGGCACATACCAACTTATCCATGCTTTAAAAGGTGTAACAAAATTCATGAATATCAACTAATTTCTAAGTAGTGGCATTTATATCACTCTAATCTTTCATATCACATATAAATATTATCATTTTAACCAATAAATAAATAAAATGCACATTTTCATACAAGTAAAAAATAGATTTATTTGTGATGTGGTACAAAATATTTTGGTGGCTTATATCTAAAAAAATAAAGTTTAGATATTAGATATGAAAATATAGAGGCCC